AGAGGAAAAAATGGCTGCTATAAACAGGTGCAGACTGGTATATAACATAATATAATGTAGCATAATGTAACATAACGCAACATAACATAACATACAATATAATACCATATAATGTCTCATAATACAATATAATAATAAAATAAAATATACATATGCAGTTACATACAGATATAATAAAAGTATAACTAATATTCCTAATAATTATTTTAATTATTAACCTTTGTGAAACCACAAGAAACATAATTGTACTAGATACAAATAAATCTGAATCTGGGTTATCTTCTTCTTTGATGAACAGATTATGTTTTGTGCAATATTTAATAGAGCATTTTTTATCAAAAGGATCAATCAAGAAGCAACGGGTGGAAACTAATCAAGGAGAGAAGCAACCTAGAACTAAGGAGAAACTTCCTAACAGTGAGAACAATTAATCAGTGGAACAGCTTGCCTCCAGAAGCAGTAAATGCTCCAACACTGGAAGTTTTTAAGAAGAGACTGGACAGCCATTTGTCCGAAATGGTGTAGGGTTTCCTGCCTGAGCAGGGGGTTGGACTAGATGACCTCCAAGGTCCCTTCCAACTTTACTATTATTATTATTATTAATTTCTGCATTAGAATCAAACATTTATTAATATGTCCCTGCATCCATCCGGAGTTCAGTGTGACTAGAGAAATATTTACCATTATAGCAGGGGTCCCCAACCCCCGGTCTGTGGACCAGTACCAGGCCGCAGCATGCCAGCAACCGGTCTGCACAAAAAGCAAAGCCCCATCCACAGGATGCAGAAAGCTCACAAAACCACGCCCCCTCTGGTCTGCAGAAAAATCTCTCTCCATGTCCCTGGTGTCTAAAAGGTTGGGGATCTTTGCATTATAGCACAATAATCTTTTGTTGATATTTTTAATAAAGTTATGACATACTGTGACATCATAGCTCTAAAATCTCAAGTTTGGTTATCATCATCTGTCACACAAAGATTAATTGAATGTCCTTATTGGTTCTTTGCATGATGATGTCATCCTGGTTGTCTGCATAGTTGAGGACAAGTCTATTACTGTTCCAATTATTTTGCCACCTTTGTGTATTTTACTGCTGCATGTTCACAATTGTTTGGGTTCATTTTCTCATCCAGTGGTAATAACTTAGGCATTCCTTAGAGTACACTCTACCATAAGATAATCATTTTGTAAATATTTAGGACTTTGATTGGATCTTTTAGCTTGTCCATAAGCTGGTCAGCATATTTTTCATGAATCTGGTAACTGCCTCAGTAGGCTATAAATGGGTATTGACATTCTGCACAGTGATCTTCTTTTCTTTGCTCTTGCTGAGCATTCTTATCTTTGCAAGTTACAGCCTTTCATCAGTCTTACTGTGGTCTTTATTCTATTTTAATTTTCATTCATCTTTCATTTACCCACTAAATGATCTATCTAAAAATTCTCTCTCTCTCTCTCTCTCTCTCTCTCTCTCTCTCTCTCTCTCTCTCTCTCTCTCTCTCTCTCTCTCTCTCTCCCTCCCTCCCTCCCTCCCTCCCTCCCTCCCTCTCCCTCTCCCTCTCCCTCTCCTTTTCCCTCTCTGTGCCTTTGATTCAGCCTTGACTCCTGGTGGCTGCATGGACCAATCCTTGCAGTTTTCTTCAGATTTTGGAAGTGGTTTGCCCCTGCCTGCTTCCTAGGGCTGAGAGAAAGTGACTGGCTCCAAATCACCCAGCTGCTTTGTGCTTATGGTAGAACAAGAAGCCTATGGTAGAACAAGAACTTTCTATCTTGATGTCTTAACCCTTACACCAACTTGCTCTATAACTGGCTTTCTATAGCTGCTACACACGTTTCATCCAACTTGAAGTTAACTAAGATGAAACCAGGGATAATTAAACTATTAATCATAGTTCTATGTTTCTCACTCTGTAAAGCCCCATTAAGAGAATACAAAACTTAAATTAAAATGGATTCATCTTAAATTTTATTGCCCACAATAAAGACATTCTCAAATAAATGTTTGGATTTAATCAGATCTGAACAAACAATTTACAAAGTCATCTACTCGCTAAGAATCATAGACCACAAGGTTAAGTCTAGAAGTTATAACAGCCTGAATACTGCAATATTACTTTCAGAAAAAGACAATTTTGTTCAGTTCCATCAAGATATAAATGCCTTACTTTATTAGGCATATATTTCTTTTGAACATACTACACATTAAGGTCTTCTACTTTGGAAAAGAGAGATATTAAAGAATAGATCTGAAGAAAACATGCTCAGCTGGACATAAAGACATTCTCAGTTCAATAAGAATCTTGTATGAAATAATATTTTGTGCAATAAAAACAAAACTCAGTTTTGATGCTTTTAAAGAAAAAAGAAACTCTTTCAGAATATGATGTATGCACAGATTTTCTGAATTTAATTTCTCCAAAAAACTACTTCCTACTTTCAACTTTGCTTTTAATGTAATTCAGATGTTCTCATTTTCTTAGGAGATTATTACAAGTTAATGATATGCCTCAATTAGCCCAGGAACATCACAGTATAAATGATATGAATGCCCAATCAAGGCCATGATGTACTTTAAGGCCATAATTTGGCTATATTTGGAATGCAAATTTCTTTCATCAGGATAATTTTATATGTTTATTTTTAAAAATAAGCCAACATTTGGTTGTTTTTGGATTTTACTAAAGAAAGCTGATGCATACATTTTTTCATATAATAAAGTTTATATTCAAGGATGAAGGAATACATTTATTATTTTCCTTAGTGTATGTTGTATCCAAAAAACAATAACACTTTAAGAGAAGTTGTGATTACAAATTCATTAATTTTACTATGTACTAATAAAGTCTCTTGAATCTATCATAATAATATGTGGCAAGCAATATCTCTTAAAGAGGAGACATTATTCTATAGCAGGCATGTCATACTGCTGGCCCGTGGGCCGGATGTGTCACGCTGAAAATATACTTGGGATAGTTGTGTAGAGTCTGCCACCATAATATTGTGGCACCTGAAATTCTTCTTCTGAAGATAATTTTGATTTCTTCCATCCTTGTAATCCTCCTGTTCTGAAATGTTGCACTCAATATTGTAAAGCAGCTTTTAACAAATGCTGGATATCCTTTAACTGCAGATTTATGAATTACTTTGAATCCCGTCAAACAAAAAGGAAAAACACATTATTCATGTCTACAAGGGGAGAATACATATTATACTTACCTACTAGGTAGCATACAAATGATCTTGATACACAAAATCTGGGAAGGAGCAAGAAAAGAGATCAATGGTGGGACCAGGAGAACTGAAACTGAACAGAACAAGGCCACTTGTGGGTGCTGTCAGAATACTATTGGGTTTTCCAGTGGTGTGAATCAGCAGAAATGGTTAAAGCAAGATAGACAGGCAGGTAATTAGATTGTCTTCTCATCTCTAAAACCTAGTAATTAGTTTGACAGTGCATTCTAGAAATAGAATACCGTATATGCCATAGAAAAGACAGATGAGAAAAATATAGAAATATATATACTTAAAAATAAAATAAACACATTTTAAAATGGTATCATTGTTTTGAATTTCAAGTCAGTGGGCCGAATCAATTGCAAAAAAAAAAAAAAACCCAACTATTTAAATGGTCCAGAACTAGGAAGGCAAAACTGGGTGAGAAGTTTTCTCAATGAGGTAGTGTACCAATAACTCACAGGCAAGATAGTTTTTAGTGGGTTCTACTACCCCATTCATGTATTTCTGTCTCAACAGTAGGACTGAACAAAAAAGAATCTTTGGGATACCAAACAAACTTGTTTTTCTGATATAGATTTTAAACATGGACCCAATATCACCTCTGTTTCTGCAAAAAGAAGGGCTGAAGGCAGAGGTTCTGGGATCAGGGTTGAACCCATAAGACACAGGTGTCAAATGCGATTGCATCACGTGATGTATCATGACGTATCACAATGTTTTTTGCCTTTGCAGAGCCAGGGTGGGCGTGGCCTGTGATTGACGCATCCGGCCCACAGACTGCTACTTTGACACCCCTGCTAAAGGGATACTGAATCTTCTATGCTAAAATTATGTTGGCTCTTATCAATTTAGACCAGAGTTTCTCAAGCTTAGCAACTTTAAGATACCTTGACTTCGATTCCCAGAATTCCCCAGCCAATATCTGGGGTGTTAAAGTTTATACATTTTAAAATGGCGAGGCTTTAGAAACATTAGTATAGACTGACTTTCAGATTATACTTTTGCAAACTGGAGAATTTTCTCCTTTTTGTGGCTTTTGTGGCTCAGAATCAACTTGACTAAGCCTTTTCTGGCTTAGAATTTTCACTTTTGGAAATTCTCTAAACACTATGTTATTTCTTTAAACAGTAAATAGTTACCAAAGTATGCTCACTTTAACACTAAAACTTATAACAAAAAGGGGAAATGAGAAAATAGTATTGAATGTACATTTCAAACAAAGATGAACATTAATCTGTCCCATCCATTCTGAGATATTTGGGGTGAAAGATGATTTTGTCTTCCTTTCTTAACATGGACTGAACAAAGGTGTGTGTGTGTGTGTGTGTGTGTGTGTGTGTGTTTGTGTGTGTGCAAATGCATGTGTTGTGAAATGCCAACAAATTAGGGAGCAGTCTTGAATGCTTAAATATGTGTCATGAGCAATCAGATATGCTTTATCTGAGATGTCTGTTTATCATTGCCTCTCATAGCCTTAACCCTAAGTTAATTAACCGTCATGGGGAGAGGGATTCAATGGTTTGAAATTCTAAAGCACTGGGAAATGATTAAAATACAGAGCAAGAAAGCAATGTGAAGGATGGGAGAGGGGGGGGGAATCTTGCAGGAGCTGCAAAAAGATTGGCTGTCTCACTCCTTGCTTAATACTTTGTCTGCCTTTTGGTGTTTAGGAAGTAGTCATGTGAGCATGGAAGAGAATGTGTACAAGGACTGCTAGAATACGGAGCTTGCAGAGTGCGAGGGGAGACAGGGAGTGTATTAGAGACAGTTTAGTAGAAAGGGAAAGTGCAGCCCGCTGCAGTTACAGCTACTGCAGCTTTGGAGTGAAAGCTTGCGATCCAGCTTGATATCCCATCTCTTCTGCATCCCCAGAAGTGCAAACATTTCATGGTGCAAAAATACTCCAATGCCAAGAGTGCAGAGGAATAGGAAAGGAGGCTTTTCAATTTATGAGAATATCTGCCGGGAGACCCTCGTAGTTTTCCTACACTTAAGGTAATGCTGCGCCTTATTTTATTTCTCTACCTTTTTAATTTTTCAGGAGGACAGAATGCCTTCTTCTTTGATAAGAACAACTCAGCTTTTTCATCTTCAAGAACTTATCAAGCTTTTGGAGCTACCTCATATTTTAAAAGTCCCTAAAAGTCCAACCTTTTTATGTGTTATTGTTGGCTCTTATACCCAGTATCTAACAGAGCTGGGATTAATCCTCTTTTGTCCCATTAATTTCCAGTGGATTAGATTTAAAAAAAAGATAAAATACTTTTAATTTGTCAACTAAGCAATTATTTTATTAAATGCTGATATTCATAAGACAATGATGATGATGATTACTTGAATGCCTCCTGCCACTCTAAAGATATCAGGGCTACAGGAATGTAATTTTAGTGGGGGGGAGGGTTGGGGGGAATTCTCTTCTCTTCTCTTCTCTTCTCTTCTCTTCTCTTCTCTTCTCTTCTCTTCTCTTCTCTTCTCTTCTCTTCTCTTCTCTTCCCTTCCCTTCCCTTCCCTTCCCTTCCCTTCTCTTCTCTTCTCTTCTTTCCAGGTATTTATCTATTCCTTTCTCTCTCTTTCCGCCTTATCTTTTCCAATAGGGCTGGAAAGAGAATTTTCCCATGGAATCACCAGTGTACATATTTCGTGAAGAGCTGGGTCCCACCTGCCCCCCAGGCTTTTGCCCTTTTCCAAGCAGGACCAGCCACAGCTGGCTTGCAGGCTGGAAAGAATATGGCAACAGCAGTAATGGTGGATATGAGGACTTGCAGCAGAATCAGACCAATATCTCCCCAGCTATTCCGATCATCATTACAGCAGTCTACTCTATGGTCTTTGTGGTGGGCCTGGTGGGCAACTCTCTGGTTATGTTTGTCATCATAAGGTAAGTAGTATGAAAGGCAATTATGTAAATCTAATTCATGAAAAGGGTTATTATTGCAGGAAGAAGAGATCAAAGAAGGGAAAGAACATAAGAAAATCAGAAAGCTAACTGGCCCGTGCTTAATTATTGCATGCAAGGGGACAGTCTGTAGAGGGGTGGTAAAGTGTATCTTTTGCATTCAGAAGGTTGCATTTTTGATCCCTAGCATTCTGAGGTACGATGGAAGAAAACCTTGCCTTAAGTCCTGGAGTCTGCTGGCAACAATTGTATTGTGGCTAACTTTGTTAATATTTAAATGTTACGATTCTTCAAGGGCTGCTTAGTGGACTCACATTAGAGAATAATTTACAAATTAGTGTATGGGGATGGTTGAGGTAAGGATTGAAGGGGGAGAAAATTATTTCTTCCCAGAAGTGTTACCTTCTGTTTTGTTTAGCTGGTGCAGCAAGTGGATTGCTCTTCTGGACACCCAAGTGAAGTAGGAATGGCCATTAGTAATACCTGGAAAGAACACCTTCATAGAATACCAGGATTTTCATGAGACTGGGAAGTTGAAAAACATTCCATAAAATGGTACTGGCAAGCCATTTTTGTACTGTTGATATGAAACCACAGGAATCTATTTAAATAGTTTAGTCACCAGAAGTTGAGCTATGCTAGAAAAGACATTATCTCTGTTTTGGATTAGTGTAGTAAAACAGCTATGGAGAAATTGCCTAAATGGATTTAGTATCAGCCCTGCTTTCATTTGGAATATAGACAGAGAAAACTAAAATGGAAAATTGATGATAATTTTTAAGTGATCAGCCTGGACGATGTGACAGTTGAAAAACAACTGCAGAAATATGTGGCTAGAGCTCCCCCCAGGGATAAAAATGTTGTTTTTATTATTATTAATGTTATGAAAAATAAAATATGCATACTAATTATTCTGATAATCAATCATCTTTCTAATAATCTCCTTACTTTTCAAATAATCTTATTAGAATTCAATATACTTTTTAAAACAAAATATGATATAGTGAAATTCACCTAAAATGCTACATCTGTGCAAGAAAACACCCCTTAAGCTCACCCATTTCCCTATATATGTATGTGAACAAATGTATATGCATCAAGTTATTCAACTAAATGGAGATCTATCTCCAGATCTTCCCTATCTCAGTTTACATTTCTGATGCTTAAAGATTTATCAGTGACCTAGCTTAAGGATTTGCGATTTATCCCAGGAGAAGTGGGGAGAAGTGGGGATGGCAAAGGAACTGTCTTTTCTAATCACTTGCTTCAAAATGCATTGAATTTTGAGGTGGTATTGTTTCATATAGTTTTACTGAACTTTTGTACAGTGTTCTGGGGCTCTTTAGAGGTAAAAATAGCCTAAAACAGTGTTTCTCAACTATAGTGACTTTAAGATGGGTGGACTTTGATGCCCAAAACTGGGGAGCTGGGAAACTGTGAGTTGAAGTCCACTACCTTAAAATTGCCTAGGCTGAGAAACATTGGCCTAGAAGTTATTAAAATAAGTACAAGAGTGGAACATGGGAAGCATAGTAAGCATCCAGTTGTCTGACTGTTCTATGCTAGCCCACGGAGACTAGAGAGAGTCCTGTGGAGTTTAGCTTAACAGAATTATCTGGTCACTGGGAATGGACTGGATTTTAATCAGGGTTTTGTACCCATGTTCAGGTTTGAGTTGGTTTTTAGATTTCATGAAATCATTATATGTAATTTTGCTTCATACAAGACTCAGTGTGGATATACTTCTGTTTCCAGTGTCCTTGATGGAAAAATGATGGCGGCAGAACTTGCAGCCAGTAACTAAATAAAACCCAAGATTAACCCCCCCTTTCAAATCTTTAAATCAGTTTCTGCAGTTTTTATTTAATTTAAGCATTAGTGTTGAAGACATTTCCTAAGTCTAACAATAATCTAAAAACTCATTTTTCTAAATGTGCTAGCAACCACGTGAAATGACATGGAAGAAGCATTATCAATAAATAAGAAACTATATTTTCTGCCTTAAAGTAAAGTCACCTTTAAGTTGAAGCTAACTCTGGTACTTAAATATACCAATGTTGCTTTCTTGGCAAAAAGGATTAATCATTTCCTTCTTCCGAGATGTTTTCTAGTCTAATTTATGGTCTAGCTGTTTTTATATTTTTAATGCTTTAAATACTTTCTCTTCCTGCATTTGCAAACAACCTATTATTTGTGATAAATTTACAGCATACTTACTATTTTGATTAAAACCTTTGATCTCATTTGTCATGTGATATTCAAGTTGTGCAGCTCATTTTCTACTTGAAATCCAATAAAAAGTGATGATAAATTAAAAATAAGGCAGATGGTGAAAAATATTTCAGAATAATATTGAACAGAGAGCTCACATTGTTTATTTTTCAACAGAGATCATTCCTGAGAAATACCTACAAATATGTGCAATACATAACAATTCTATTGCTATTTGTTAGGGAAGTGTCAGAACTAGGGTATTTCTCCTGTCTCTTCTGATGTAACAAAGTTGTAATCAAAGGAGGAGGAGATACGAGATACATACATGGGACTCAAGCTCTCACCCTGATTTGGAGTTAGGAAAGTGCTGACATGAAATTGCAGTTGATTACTTGATTGAGCACTTAATTTTTTAATTTCTTGAACTGACATTCACCTGTAATCAGTGTCTCACTTCCTTCAGGAAAGCTTATAATTTTGTTTTGTTTTGAATTCTGCTTCAGGATCTGAGTTTTAGCATTGAAACATTTAGCCTCAGAATTATCATCTACAACAGGGGTGTCAAACTCAATTTCATTGAGGAGCGCATCAGCACTGCGGTTGCCCTCAGGGGGGCGGGTGGGTGTGGCCAGGGTGGGTGCAGCCTACTGGGTGGGCATGGATGGAGTGAGTGTGGCCTACTGGGTAGGCGTGGCCAGCTCTACACCGTTCACGTCAAGGGGGCCTGTGGGGGCCTGGGCAGAAGTGGGATAGATCTGAGGGTCTCTGGCAGAAGGGGGTGGGACCAGGGCAAGTGCCAAGGCATGGTCCACTGGAGGAGCCTCACTGTTCCTCTCAGGCCATGTGGGGGAGGGGGCTTATGGAGCTAAGACTGAATGCATTTCAGCATAGATAGCCACCACAAAATTGTACATTGGCTCCCAACTGGCTTGGGCCAGAGCCAAGGCAGGGGGGCCGTTCCCTCACAGTTTCCAGGATGGCTTTGCGGGCCACATGAAACCACTTCACGGGCCGCATCCGGCCCCCGGGCCTTGTGTTTGACATGTCTGATCTACAAAACTGGCAAATATTTTCTGAAATAACAATGGACAGCAGATACGTGTACTATACAAAAAAATTAATCAACAAACCACTCAACCTTTTACTGAGAATCTAATCTATGTTGACCTGAAATGCATTATATGGTGACTTGCAATCACTTTATGTCTTAAATCAGCATTTCCAAATTCTGCAGATCCCAAAATCCCTTGCCTCATATTTGACTACATTGACTCAGGAATATAGGACTTGAACTTCAGGACCCCAGATACAGGAAAAGCTATTTTCAACAAACACAGCCTTTATAGAGTTTTGCCTTTTATCATTAGAACTTCAATAGGGCATAACATTCTACTACAAATCTCCATTTCAGATTTTCCCAAAATTTGCTTTTGATTCCATGAGGCTATGCCTCTAAAGCCATGCTGAATTAATAGCATTTGAAGCAGCATTTGCTCCTCTCTTTTTTCCATCAATTACAAATGCTTTTAAGAAGTTACCATTGTTCCATTCTAATTAACTGCAATGCTGCCTGGCTTCAATGGCAAGCTAGGGAATACTCATATGCCTTCAAATGTGAGATACAGTATCCACTGTAATATGGGGATAATGTGCTATGTGGTTAAACACATATTTTTGCTATCTGCTCTGAGAAATTAAATAGCTGCAATGGAAAAAAGGGGCAATTATGTTTAAATAAAGGCTAGAAATTTATGATTGGTCAAGTTGAAAATCATTCAGTTAAGTGAAGTTTGGCATCCTTCCCTCCCTCATTTTGAGGTCTGCAGATAACAAGAAAAAACAAAATTTCACAGAAGTCAAACCAAGCCATCTGGTGATTTCCAGTGATGTTGTTCCTAGTTTCTGAAGCTGTGTGCCTGGCTCTCTTTCTCACAAAGGGCAGCAGCAGCGTCTAGTAGCTGCTGAAGGAATGCTGGCTTCTCTTACTCTTGTCTGTAGCAATGCCCTTCATGAACTTAACTAATCTTTCTAACAAAGATGGAATTGGAATAGGCATATGCACACTGCAATGAAATAGAAGAGCAGGTAGACTTGAGAAATGGGAACAATGCTCAGAACTGTGAATTCTTTCTAGTGTCACTGTGAGTTCTTTCTAGTGTTGTGAGTTCTTTCTAGTGTCACTAGAGATACCTAGCATTGGGCTTACATTTTTTCCATACTGTTATTTATCCAGCCATCTGCTTTCCACACCGCAAAACTTCTCATCACTGAAAAGTTCAGGAGACAGTGAAGAGAGTCAAGCTAGCTAGCACATCAACAGCCAGTCTGCACAGTGCTTCAGACAGCTGGGTAATTAGAGTATTACCACAAACATCTATCAGTTTGGTTTATGGCTTAATGTTTATAACTCTGCTTCTTTGGATATGGCTGGTCTCCTCCTTCTCCCTGCTTTTTCCTTTGTTTTCTTTTCCTTTCTTTTTCCTTTTTCTCCATCTTTAAATATATTATATGGATGTTAATGGAGCAGAACACAATTGGGCATTTGAAATTTTTCCACATTTCTTTGTAGGAAAGAGAAATTCCTCAAAAAAAATTCACAATGTTTTACCCCTTGGAGATAAAAAATCCAATAACTCCTCCTCCGAGAGTCACTTGATACACAGAATGCAATTACTGTTGAAAGAGCTAATATTTCAAAATTATGAGGATGGAGCCTGCAGATAGACTACTGTGAAATGAATGTAATTACATTACATATATCCTCATATTCAGTCCTGTAGAACTGAACCTGGCTTGCTGGTCAATTGTTTGTAAAAGTTTACTGAATCTAGAATTATCAAGGAATCCAAGGAAAATGGCTAAAAGTAAGAAATATTGTAAAATGGGATTTGTTGGTGCTGGTGCTGTAGAAAATATTGTGAAAGACCTTCACGACTAATTTTCAAATCAAATCTAAATAAATGGGCTATGATGTGCATGCTTGGCAACTGTGAGGCTCATCCCTATACAGCTGTTAAGAAGGAATGAAATAAAAAAAAATTCCCAGCAAATATGGTAGGACAAACATAAGAAAGACAGCAATGATGTTGAGAAAAAAAAATAAAATACATTTTCAGTTGGATTGCTATTAGATTAATATCTATACAAGGAGTGGTAAATCTGTGCCCCCCCAAAATTGTTGAATTACAATTTTAGCCCTTTTCACCATTAGTTATGCTTGTTGAAGTTCATGTCCAAGAAGATCTTAATGTTCCCATCCATCTTCTACAGGAAGCAAAGCTGAAGGTAGGTGATACATGGTTCTGGGCGTTTTTCTAATGCATTTCTGATTATGGTAATCAAACTCCTGGGAAGGGAGCCCATTGCTATTTTAACACTCTTTTCATAGCAGGGACTTCATTGGAAATGACATTTACAGCTTATTTAAATTTAAAGAAAATGACTCAAATTTCAATTTGCAATGGAAAAGGCACTGCAGCATTATGGACCTGCTGCCTCAATGCTTTGGACAATTTAATAATGGCTACCAATGGCAATGTGACTCATTCAGTAGTTTTGAGTTTCCTTAGTTTCTCAGTCCCAGCTGAACCAGGCTGCTTTTTAACTGGAAGAAGAGCTGGGTATCATCAGGCTTGAAGTAGGGCATTCCCCCCCCCCCATTTATCTCATACGCTTCCAATAATGTGCATAATTTTCTAAGTTCTACCTAACAAAGCTTTTAGTTTTATGGCCAAACCCAGCTGTGAGAAAAGGTAAGACTGATGAGGTTTCTGATGACATTTGAGAGAAGGTGGGAAATAATTTTATCTTCATAATCATACATTCAGTTTATAGCTCAATATTATATTAGAAAATGCAGCAGATAAGAACCCCCACTTTGCCTTAGATACCTTAATGCAAATGAGAATGCACTAAAAGTAAGAGGGGCACTTTCTTATCGTATCTTGAATGCATGTATAAATGTTTATTAAGTAATGTTGCAGCATAAACAGAATTCATAACATTCTACTATACACTTGTTTGTATGTGATGTTCTCTCTTTGTTTGTTTTTTTTTATTAAATCATAAAAGGGTATACATCCTTATCAGCTGAAATACTTTAGTTCTAGCCTAAGGATAAAGTGCTCTGTTGAGAAGCTACAGAAATTAATTGTATTTAGTTATCTTTGTGCTTTGATCCCTGGCTGACCTTCCCAGTGTTCTGATTCTTTATACTTTGACCCCCAACTTTCAGTGTCTTGTCTCCTCCCTCTGAAACTTAGACTGATTTGGCATTTGTCTTCTGGAGTGATGGAGTGATAACTCTTCTTTGTGTGCCTTTGGACATGAGTAATCCCTTTTGGGTTTAGATATCCATTTTGGAGTTAGATCTTGAATTTATAGTTGCATTTTTATGGTTTTTGTCCTTTATCTAAGATAGAACATGATTGAACAATGTATTTTTTTGGAGAAAGAGAGAGAGAGAGAGAGAGAGAGAGAGAGAGAGAGAGAGAGAGAGAGAGAGAGAGAGAACATAATAATATTGGAAACATCATTGAGAAAATGAGATACAAAATTTTGAAATTTGTCTACCCAAGATCTACAAGCCCAAGTCAGTTTGGGTACTTCTGTAATTATGCAGTAACTTTTAATTAGACAGATGAACTGAACACATGTGAGCCAGTGTTCAAAGCCAGTGTCATTGAAATCTGTTTTGCCCTAGATTTAGGAAAAGTGTGGCAAGCACTGCATGATTGTCCATAAAACATTGACATATCTCTAAATCCTTCAAAATCAGAATTAGGTGATACCTGGATTCTCTGGTCTTTCTTGAAGACCATGAGATTCAGATACAGTGCTGTTTTAATTTTAGTATAATGGAAGCAAATTTCTATAGCAGGCATGAAAAGTAGGGTTTGAAGTCTATTTCTTAAAGACAGACAGCTCTGTTTGGCCTGTTTAATGTAGTATCATTCCGTCAACTGCATATGCCAAACCATCCATTTGAAGCAGTTATTCAGCCCTGTTATTTCTGTTTTTTTAACTAATGAAAATAGAAATATTATTTTAAAAAGAAGAGCAAGATAATATGAGCAGGTAAACCATTAGATTGAAATAGCACAGTACTTTATAGAGGTTATTCAATGATTCAAAGGAATTATTGTAAGAAGTACTATGTACATTCATAGTACTATGCTACTGATTGAATATTCTAAATATTAGAAAACAGTCTCCCATGATCAATCTCTCTCTCTCGCTCGCTCTCTCTCTCTCTCTCTCTCTCTCTCTCCCCCTCTCTCTCCCTCCCTCCCTGGATAGCTTACCACCTTTGGATTTCTAAATGTTATGGAAATAATATAATCAGATATGAGCGACATTACTCTGTTATTAGGTCCACTTAGCAGTTGACAGAACTGCCATAATTAATACCTATGTAGTTAAATATTGATGAGAATATGATAACTGCATTTTGTTTTGTTTAAAGAAAACAAATGCTATATTTTACTTGTTCTCAATAGAGAACATTATATTTTCATTGGCTACAAATACATTTTGTTGCTTTATGATAGCCTAATTTGCATAATTTAATTAAAATCGCGTATTAATACAATTCTGCTTGTGGCAAGTAAAACTTAATTGTTAACGTATCATTACAACATTAAATCAATTAAATCATCATGGAGTAAAATATTCATTTGTTGATTCTGAAGATTGATGTAACCACCTTGTTGCCTTGTTTTCCCTCTAGTAATTCTCTCAAACTTCATGACCCAAAAAAATCAGAATCCAAAGTTAAATGATTCTCCTTTTAACAATCCATGTTTCTCAAAAGTATTAAACTTCATGGAGTTCAGTTCAATCAAGATATTTTGCACGACAGAGGAATGTATACAAATATGAAATAGATTCAAACAATATATTTATAGCATCCTTTGTTTGAAAAACAGAAAAACAGAAAGAAAAGGAAGCAAAAATTATTTTCCTTATTTAAAACAAATATTTTTAACAATCATTTATTAAAGATCAGTGTAATAAACAGTATGTGCTGGAGCAGAATCTTATCCTATAGCACAGGTGTCAAAGTCAATTGCGACATATGATGTATCATGATGTATCGTGACTTTTTTGCCTTTGTGGAGTCGGGGTGGGCGTGGCCTGCATGTGACACATCTGGCCTACGGGCTGCCAGTTTGATACCCGTGTCCTATAGAATTTATTCATCAAAACAGTGATTTGTGTCAGTTTATATCTACCCCAATAAAACTAAATCTGGAGGTAACTTAGTCTTATGTTAGATTTCAGCACTGACTCTATTACATCATCATGGTGAGCAAAAGCAATTGCACCACCATATGGAAGAGCAGACAGTATATAAATGCAGGCATGTGCTTTGGTCCCAGAGACCCCCCATGTATTTTTATTCCTGCCAAAATATTCCCCAATCAGAACCTCAAAGAAATAATCTAAAAGTATAACCTTGAAGTAAGCAGTTTGGAGTGTGTGTGTATTCTATGCAAAATAGTGATATTTGGAATAGTCTCTGTATTAGATTTATGGATAAATATTTAAAAATACTTCTTTTGTTTTAGGTACACAAAGATGAAGACCGCAACGAACATTTATATTTTTAATTTGGCTCTGGCAGATGCTCTTGTCACCACAACTATGCCTTTTCAAAGTACTGAGTATTTAATGAACACTTGGCCCTTTGGGGATGTGCTGTGTAAAATAGTCATTTCAATTGACTACTATAACATGTTTACAAGCATATTCACCTTGACCATGATGAGTGTAGATCGCTACATTGCTGTGTGTCACCCAGTGAAGGCCCTGGACTTTCGTACTCCTCTGAAGGCCAAGATCATCAATATATGCATCTGGGTTTTGTCTTCTTCCGTAGGCATTTCAGCCATAGTTCTTGGAGGTACCAAGGTCAGGGAAGGTGAGTACAAACACCAATTTTATATGTAGCCTGGAAAACATTGGGATATATTTTATTATTGATTCCTAAGTCAATTCTGTGTGCTTTTTTAATTTACTCAGAATTAGCAGAAGTAATACTATTTCTGAGAATCCCTGCTTTGAGCTCAGCCCTGTAAATCAGGAAATCAATTCCACTTGAAGACTCTTTATTGTTGTGGTCTATAATAACAAAATATTGAAAGCCTGCCACAATTTTCTTCTCTTCCTCTCTTACCCGATGCAGAATCAAGGCAGGATTATTTTAAGTCTCCTTCCATGCTTACTACCTTCCCATGGCTGAAATTTCTCTTTTGTCTGTTAAAAGATGTTGCATCCCTTTACCAATGTTATCTCTACCTCCCACTAACATTAAAAAAGGAAAGCTAGGGCAGCGATCCCCAACCTTTATGGCTTGGTGGCCTGATAGAGGAGGGAGGGAACTCGCTTAGCTCGGTTCCAAACAAGCCACAGCCCAGTATTGTGCTGCAGCCCAGGGGTTGGGGATCCCTGCCCTAGAGGTCATAGCTGCAGAGAATGTATTTTATTTATTTATTTAAAATATTTATAGAGCCACCCATCTTTCAACCAACGCTGGGCATCTCCAAACCAAATGATTTAAATATCTAATTACAAACATATGAAAAGAACACGGGTTCAGATTTTGACACTATGCAGTACAATTCTGGTTAGTAATACTGTTTAAAAATTATAGGCTGGATTATGAATGAGTAGCACAAAAAAAGTAAAAAAGATGTTGAGACTCTAGAAAGAGTGTAGAGAAGAGCAACAAAGATGATCAGGGGACTAGAGGCTAAAACATATAAAGAATGGTTGCTGGAATTGGGCATATCTCGTTTATTGAAAAGAAGGACGAGGAGGGCCATGATAGCAGTGTTCCAATATCTCAGGGGCTGCCACAAAGAAGATGGAGTCAAGCTATTCTCCAAAGCACCTGAAGGCAGGACAAGAAGCAAAGGATAGAAACTAATCAAGGAGAGAAACAATGTAGAACTAAGGAGAAACTTCCTGACTGTTAGAACAATTAATCAGTGGAACAACCTGCCTCCAGAAGCAGTGAATGCTCTGACACTGGAAGTTTTTAAGAAGAGACTGGACAGCCATCTGTCCGAAATGGTGTAGGGTTGCCTGCCTGAGTGGGGTGGGGGGGGTTGGACTAGAAGGCCTCCAAGGTCCCTTCCAACTCTGTTATTTTGTAACATGATTTCTTCTGTTTTGTCTTAGCAATGTTGTAATTTACTCAATGAACTGTAGATAAACAATCGATGTCTTAATCTAGTGCTACCAGATCTGGACTACAAAAATGTGGACAAACATGAGATGGCAGGGAAATAATTTCAGAATATTTTTTTCCAGAATCCCCCCCCCCCTCGCCATCCACTCAGAGTGATCTGAGTAATGATCATCCAGATTTTTGAAGTTTAAAAATTAAATTAATTAAAATTAGTCTCCAGATCAAAGCTTTGCACAAATAAAAACTATTTATCTAGCATTTGCCATTCTCAAAATTAGTATATGATATAATATTTAATTAAGGAGGCAAAAAGGTTTAAATTCACAGTGATCCATATCCAGCAAAAAAGATTGTTTTAAAGCAATTTTGACTTTTTTGGGGGGGGGGATGTATCATATTTGAAACAAATTGGTTTTAAATTCAGAATGGGACCTCTAAATAAATAGGGCTACTTCAAGAACAAAATATTTTGAATTTCAGATGTTTTTCACACCCCTATAATCCTTTCCATGCAACAATATCTGTAAATATATTTTCCATAGTTCCTGAAATGAAGAATATGTGACTTATAGCATACATCAAAGAAGATAAAAGCACATTGGATCACATTATATTAATTTCTATAGTTCATGTTTCATCAATCTCAAAGTGGATATGTATGCTACCCAATAGTAGAATAATATCAATAGATATTAAGTTAAACTTCAATATAATCACTTTTAAATTAATGTTATATTATATATGTTATTTTGTACAAGTTTCCTAAATGTTTTAATAATGATAAAATAATAATGTAATCAATTTGTATTTTCACTTATGAGCCACAAACTGGCTGTTCTTACAGTAAGGCACATCATAATACCTACATTAGGTATAGGTATATAAAAATAATTTTTGATCTGAATATATGGGAGGGATTTGGGAACTGTGTACATGTGAAAAATATTTTCTGTGGCAAACAATACTTGCAGATTGTTCTATAAGAGTTTCCAAAGCACTTCCCCAGATATCTAAAAGTGGTGAAATTATGTACAGAAGGCAGTTTATATCCACTGGATCAAACTATACTACTTTAGAAACTGCATTCCAAGCACTGGCATAGCCAATTTAGTTAAATCACTGGCTAAAGGAGAGAGGGGAGTAAAGAGGCATTTCAGCATGGAGTTGCTCCATGGGATCAAATAACATATGCCAGATCAGTGAAGCTGTTATCTACTGATTCCCAAGAGAATACATTTAGTCTGACAAGATTCTTGTAAAACAGGTGATCAACAATAAAGACACTGCTTTGGCTTTTTTCATGGAGTTGTTCTGGTTCTTTGCACTTGACGCCAATTGAAAACCTAAATTAAACTAAAAAATTAAATTAAGTTAAACTAAACCACAGTTGATCTGCTGATGTCCTATGTGTCCAATACTTTTTTTCTTTTCTAGGATGTTTTTTTAAATATTATAATCATACCCATGATTTTGAGACCAACATGCTTCAAACTGCACAACTGTCTAGACTCTAGATGGACCTAGTTACTAGTTCTGTGCACCAAACCTATGATTTTCTTGGTAAAAGGGACTTATTTTAAAACAAATGAGTAAAACCCATTTTTCTTTTTATTCAGTTGAGCGAGCTGATGCATTATAATAGCAAATAGAATATTTTGTTCTCCTGCAGACACTTCTCAGTTTCTCAGCTGAACTTGCCTCTTACATAACTCTCTTTAAAAGGAATGGCTTACCCTTCTAACCACTTCAGTTCATTATTGGCAGTAACATTGCCTGAAATTAAGGACAAGAATACATTTTTGAAATACAATTGCAAAGTTCATCCCTGAACATCTGCAGAAGTATCAAGACTGTTTTTTTTTTTATCAAGTAGTAAGTCTGTTGTCGAGATTGTAGGTTTGTAATTAGAAAGGACAGATGTAATTAGCAACAATTCTCTAAGCCTGGTTTCAATAATACAGTAGGCTGTACAATATCCTAATTTATATTTACACCCTGGTTCCTTACGTTTTTCATTTGAGTGAAAGAGCCCCTATGCATACAAGTAATCCTCGATTTACAGAGGATTTGTTTAGCAACAATCTGAAGTTACAACAGCACTGAAAAAAGTGACTTGTGACCATTCCTTGCATTTGCAAATGTTGCAACACCCCCATGGTCATGTGATCAAAAGTTCGGTACTTGGCAGCCAGTAAAAGGCTTCTGACAAGCAAAGCCAATGGGGTAAGCCAGATTCACTTAGCAATCACAGTGATTTGCGTAACAACCATGGCAAAAATGTTCATAAAATTGGGCAGAAGCCACTTAACAACTGCCTTGCCTGGCAATGGAAATTCTGGTGCCAGTTGTGGCTGTAGGTCAAAGACTACCTGCAATTATATCCTTTGCATTTAACTGGGAGAAACTCATAAACACCTTGCAGATTTTATTAGAATTAATTTCCATTTGTAGGCCATAATAAAGGATTTCCACGTAAACCGCAGTTTAATCAGTGGAACCCATATCCAGGGTATATTAAAATATGCCTGTTAATATTTCACCTCTGATTTGTCAATACAAATGCAATGAAAGAGAAAAGCAAGATTTATGAATCTTGCCTACAGAGCTTGATTTTAGCCTCTGAAAGTGATATAACTTTGAATCATTGTACATTCTATCCTATTTGCTTTTCCTGAAATTGTTAATTTAACATATTCATTTGTTTTCTTCTTATGGGTCCCTTTATATACAGATACAGGCAGCACTGAGTGTTCTCTTCAGTTTCCAGATGATGACTATATCTGGTGGGACATCTTTATGAAAATCTGTGTCTTTGTCTTTGCCTTTATTATCCCAGTCCTAATTATTATAGTTTGTTACACTCTAATGATCCTGCGCTTGAAAAGTGTGCGGCTCCTGTCTGGATCACGAGAAAAAGATCGAAACCTCCGCCGTATCACCAGATTGGTTCTTGTTGTAGTTGCTGTTTTCATTGTCTGTTGGACCCCCATCCACATTTTTGTATTAGTTGAGGCTCTTGGAGATGTCTCACACAGCACTGCAGCCATTTCCAGCTACTATTTCTGCATTGCATTGGGCTACACCAATAGCAGTCTAAATCCCATTCTATATGCTTTTTTGGATGAAAACTTCAAGCGTTGTTTCAAAGATTTCTGCTTTCCTTTTAAAATGAAGGTGGACAGACAAAATATCAGCAGAGTTAGAAACACAATTCATAATCCTGCTCATGCTGGAAACACTGATGGTGCAAACAAGCCAGCATGACTAGCTGTGGAAATGTCATCATATTGTCCTCCTGGAAGAGAAGAATCCAATGATCTTGGATTAACTCAAATAACTACAGCAGTGTGAAGTGGACAGTAAAAGGACTACTTGATATTATTTACAAAATCCCACAGTTTCAATTGAAATATAGCCACCAAGATGTCCTTCACCGATGTTCACTGATGATAAATTCTGTTTCAATAGAACTTTGTATATAGCAAAGTAATCATTTGGGGCAGAAGAAGAGAACTAGCTTTTCTCCCATTTTTGACCTTTGTATATGTTTTATGTGGAGTAATGTGATTTCACCATATCACTAGTTTTATTGTACTTGTCAGAATAGCAAATCAGCATTTCCTTTTATTAATTATATTGATTGGATATGCAGTGTATTTTCAGCTATTTATATGGCCGTGAATAATACAAAAAAAAAAGTGACATCTAGCCTTCTATTGCAATGGTTTCGAAATTTCTTCTGAATGGGTTCACACAGTACTGTAATGATTTATATGATGATAATGTATCGTGTGATCAGCAGAAGCATTTTAATTATGGATTTTCTGTTTTCAATGAATAACTTTTAATCTGAGGAAACACTATATATGATGAATAAGGCTATGTGAATTTTATTTATTTAAGCAATTTGTATTGTACTTTTGGGGTGCTCTAATATTCATGGGCTTAGTGTAAAAATTCTGTGTCCATCTTCAGGTGAAATAACAAAGTGTCAGGTAATTAAAGTCTTTATTAAACCTGATGGACAACCAGGTTGACATGAACAAAATTCACAGAATGGTACAATCCTAGGTACCTCTTCCAGAATGTGCATATATTGACCCAAAATTGGAGCTGTTAATATATACAAAAAAATTAGGGATCATATATTAATAAACATACATAATACAGTTATGATATGCAGTCAAATAATAGAAATGGAAACTCAATGTTCCCATTAGTCTCTATCAAATTAATTCATCTCATTCACTAACAAAGTTTATAAGGGAATACAATTTTGTTAAAATGAACCATAATGGAAATACTTTTATCAAAAAAACAACCTGCTTATTCTTTGTAACACAGATTGGAAAATTCTATTGGAAAATAGATTGGATGTTTACATATCGCTTTTATGAGGTGTGGACTTTCATCTTATTTTGGAACTTTAATATTTCTCCCATACCAATCCAGTATTTTTCTTTTAACATGTCTAAAAACCAGAAAAACCTGTGTTTAAACATGCACATATGCCTGGAGCTTTGTGAATTGCATATGTTTCCTTGCTGTTCTGTTGTACCCACTTTTCTTCAGATTCTTCTGGGTTTGTATGGAAGCCTCTTCTCATTATAGCAAAGGAGACAACTACATCATGGCACTGGACCTAATTGAGGACCACCTATGTCTGATAGTTTCTGCCCATCCAGTAAGATCCAGGAAATGATGCACTTGAGATTCCCTCAATTAAGCAATGCCATAGTACAGTATCTTAGAGGCATGGCTTCTCGGTCCAACCTCTCTCTCCATATTTCCATCCCAAAGAGTTTTCCTGGATGTGATATATTTGTCTTTCTTTACTATTTTGGCTTTGTATAATGTAAATTGCTCGGAGTTGTTTGGACTTGAGCATTCATTAAATATATGTCAATCAATCTATCAATCAAATCAGGATATGGTGATCTTGAAGTGTCATGGTGGAACAACTAGATTTTACAAGCCAAAGGAGTCTCTTAGATTGGAACTTGGCAATATTTGGTTTCAAGGTAATGTATTCATTGCCTTTTCACACAGTTGTAGTTTTGCATAGTAGCGTTTTTATAACAGCGCTGATCAAAATTTGCTTACCAACCTATAATGAATGGAGATCCTGATTCTACCCAGAAACCTCAACTAGAAATACTTTGTTAAATATTAAAACAATTAAAAACATGTGCCATTTTTAAACTGTTCAATAAAATCTTTACTATATAGGTCAACCTTAGAGGATAAGGAAAGGATCCTTTTGAAAGTGGCTTTTCTCCTTGCAAATATTATTTAATTTTTTATCATCATTATATTAACATAACTAATTTCAAATTAATTTTTTAAAAATTATTTTTTTTTAAAAAGTTGAGTTACAGAGAGGAACTTGTAGATCACTCAGAGTCATTATTTTGCATGTAGTGGTTTCTAATAAGCAAACAAGTAACAGTGAGAACTTCTATTAGCCCAACTTAATTATAATAAAATAATAATGGGCTTATAACCCAACACAGCAGCCAATACATTAGACATGATGCAATTGGAATTGACAAGTGGAGAGTTAGTTTCAAGGAAGGAGGGTCCTAGTAGGGGAATCAAGACACTTTTATAATCATGTTCCAATTCCATTATGGAATTCAGTAAATTCAATTCAATGTCCAAGGGAGAAAGTAAGTTCAAAGAAGAGTGGGGAAATAGGAGATTTCAGGAAGTGATTTACCTAAAAAACAAAGTACATAGAGTTCAGCTAGAGACAGAGAAAGCAGAAAAATTAAAAATTCCAGGCTTCTCAGTGATGGAAGAGGGCAAGGGATTTTGCAGTGCAAGCTGAAAAGAACAAAGCTTTTTGCCAAGGAAAGAACGTGATGGGTTCGGAGAGGTAACATTTACACCCACATGGGTATGTGCTACTGCATGGGTTCAATTTAGTATAGAATAAAAAGAAGATAGTACCTTCCTTTGGGGAAAAAGAGAGAGGGATTTCTGAATCAAGGAGGAAGAGAAAGTAGGGGAAAATCATTTTCTGGCAATACAGGAACTTGTTTTCCTTTGCAAATTTATCTTTAAAAAGAGAGGATTTCCCAACAGACAAAGGAGGTATTGGAGGAGGCACCACTCTAAAGTGCAAAGGCAAAAATATTGTTACTCAGATGTGCTCAAGTGAGAAAAAGGGGTGGGGGTGGATGGGGAGAAAATCAAGAGGAAATGGCAGAAACTAACAAGACCCTTGCTGAGGAGGAGGAGGAGGAAGAGGGGGAGGAGAAAAGGGTGATGGCTGGTGTTGACTCCTTGGCGAAAAGCAGACACGAGAAGCAGTTGTAGTTCTCAGGTTTCCTTTTATTCTGTGTTCAGCTTACAGGTGAAGGCTTCAGCAACGCCCAAAAGCTCCCAGCCTCTTATATAGGCAATTCCCGGGTCAATGTGTTATTTTTCCCGCGCCAGCACCCGCGCCTGCGCACAGGCGCTGGCGACAGCCTGTCTGGTCCTGGGCAGCTTGCACCTGCCCAGGACTGCCTGCAAACGCCCCGAGCCCGTTTGCAAGGCTCGGGACATAACACCCCTTTCCCCTGGGCTAAGACTACTACCAACATACAATTATTTCTTGATGCAGTGTTCTACTCCCCAGTGCTCCTACTGTTTACTGGCTTTTGTTTAGCCAGCACTGTTATGTAATCCTCTAAGTACTTAGGAGATTTCCTTGCTCTCTGTGACCTTCTCAGCTCTGGGTTTCTGACAGGTGTACCCTGACTGAAGGGAGACGTGAACCTGTTCTCCTTATCTTGCCTTGGTGCCTTCCAAGGACTGTGCCCCAATGCCTGGCCTGCTTGCTTGCCCACCGGGCTCGTCAGGCCAGGGCTTCTGTCACTTTGTGACCTGGTTGACCCGCCTAGCTGTAGGCCCTCGGGCCCCTTGAAGTGATAGCCACTGCTGGGCGTCTCTGTAGGACCTCCTAGGTCCGTCCAAGACCTGTCAGGAGGCTGTCCATCCCCTAAGCCCCGTTCTGTATCTGGGCTTGTGTGGGTTTCTGTGCCTTCCCCAAACTCAGTTACTCCCTGATTTGGGCTAGAGGTGTTGTGGTCGGGACTTGGTTCCTCGACTACCTCCCTGTATGTTTGACCCCCTGTAGGACTTGGGGTAAGATCAGGCCAACTCTGGGGATTATGTGCCAGCTCTCTTGCGGGGTATGATTTATTGGGATGCTCCCGGGTATCCTCCCTGACTGGAGTGCTGTGTGGTGTAGATGGATAGTGATTGTGCCCCCGGGGTGACTCCCTGGCTGGAGTAGGCATGAATGCCTGATGATTGGGTAAGCCCCATGAATTCCTGTTTGGGGCATTCGCGGAATCTTGAAATGGGCCATTTGTGGCTCCATCATTGGAGGTTGGCAGCAGCTCGTGCCCTTCCCTTTGCTCCAAAGGGTCCCCCTCCCCCCCTGGAAAAGACCCAGGAGTCTCAGCTGGAAGATCCCACCTAGGGCGGAGTTGGTCGATGTGCCGGCGCAGGACACGACCGTTGTCCAGGGCTACCTTGTAGGATAGAGGACCTGTGACCCTGGAAATAGAAGTGGGGACCCATGTATGACCAGGCCCGTAATTGCGAGTCCAAACCGGGGCACCCACAAGTAGTTGTCTAGGTGACCTAGGATGTGAGGTAGATGAAGGCAGTCTGTCCGGATGCAACCGGTCAAGTTTCGTAGTAAGTTTGCGCCCCCAGCGAAGTTCAGCTGGGCTTCTCCCTGTAGAAGTGGACAGTGTGGTACGGTAAGAAAGGAGAAAGTCAGCCAACCTGTGATGCCAGTCCCCATAGGTGAGTCTTTTCAAGGCGTCCTTTGTGATGTGGACCATGCGTTCAGCCATACCGTTGGTGGACGGGTGGAGGGGTGCAGACGTGGCATGACGAATCACGTTAGCCTGTAAGAAAGCTTGGAATTCGGAGGAAGTAAATTGAGGGCCGTTGTCAGACACAATGACATCTGGGAGCCCGTGTGCAGCAAAAATCCCCCTCAGTACCTGAATAGTCTTTGCAGTGGTGGTGGATGAGACAGGTACAACCTCAAGCCATTTTGAATGACTGTCAATGAGGACCAAGAAGAACTGGCCCTGAAAGGGCCCAGCGTAGTCAATGTGCACCCTAGACCATGGGGACTGTGTATCCTCCCATCTATTCACAGGAGCTTGGGGCATCTCTGGGCGAGAGCGCTGGCACAGGTGGCATGCATGCACCTTAGCCTCAATGTCCTTATCTAAACCAGGCCACCACAAGTGTCTGCGCGCAAGGGCCTTCATGCGAACAATGCCAGGATGACCCTCGTGGAGGGACTCTAAGATCCTAGTCCTCATTGAGGTGGGAATGACAACTCTGTTTCCCCAAAGCAGACAACCCTTAGAAGTGGACAACTCGTTCCTTTTGGACCAGAAACTCTGAAACTCAGGACTAGGGCAGTGCTCAGGCCATCCAGACAAAACCCAAGAAAGGACACGTGAAAGTGTGTGATCTGTGCCCATTTCAGCGGCAACATCCCTGGCATTCAGAGGGGACTCGGGCAAGGCTTGGATGGATAGAATGTTGACAGCTGGCGCAGGGTCAGCTTCTACTACTGGCAGGGGCAATCTACTGAGGCCATCAGCGTGGCCCATTTCTTTCCCAGGCTTGTGGAGTAAGGAAAAATCATATGCAGACAGAAAAATAGACCACCTAAGCATTCTAGAGGAAATGATTTGGGGAGTTTGCTTACGTGTGGTAAACAGTCCCAGCAGAGGCTTATGGTCAGTGAAGACCGTGAAATGCCTGCCATACAAGAAATCATGGAATTTTTTAATTCCAGCAACCACAGCCAGAGCCTCCCTGTCTATCTGAGCGTAGTTGCGCTCAGCAGAAGACAGTGTTCTGGAGTAATATGCAACAGGAACCTGAGTTCCATCAGACCTGAGGTGGCTCAGGACGGCTCCTACCCTGTAAGGGAAAGCATCACAAGCGATCACACAGGAAGGGACTCATTGAAGTGTGCAAGTACACTGTTAGAAGTGAGTAAGGCCTTGACCTCATTGAAACTAGCCTCATGTGTTTGTGACCACTGCCACACTGCTTGTTTATCTAGTAGCCTGTGAAGAGGCTCAGCTACACTAGCTTTATGTGGAAGAAAGGAATTGTAGAAATTCAGGAGGCCCAGAAAGGCCTGAAGTTTGGCCTTAGACTTTGGCCTAGGTGCTTCTAAAATGGCAGTTAGTTTGGATTCAGCAGGGTGAATCCCAGCAGCATCAATTTTGAATCCCAGAAATTCAGTAGAAGGCACCCCACTTTTGCATTTGTCTTTTTTGAGCTTGAGGCCTGTTTTCCTGAATCTTAACAGAACAGCCCTTAGCCTTTCAGCTAGAATGTGTGTGGAGTCTCCTGCAATTAAGACATCATCAAAGTAGGGGCAAACCCCCGGTATGCCCCGTAGTGTGTTTTCCATTACGCTTTGGAAAATCCCAGGAGTGACATTCACTCCGAACTGTAGCCTTTTTACCTTAAAGGCTCCTCTGTGGGTCACAATAGTCTGAGCTATAGCAGCATCATCATCAACAGGCAGCTGTTGATACGCTTGAGCTAGGTCAAGCTTTGCAAAAACACGCCCCCCCTTGAGGGAGGCCAGGATATGACTGACCACAGGAACAGGATAGGCATGTTGCTGCAATGCCTTATTCAGAGTGCATTTGTAATCAGCACAAATGCGAATGTCCCCATTTGCCTTTAGAGGCTTGTCAATGGGGGTCTCCCAAGGACTGGAATCAACAGGTTCTAGAATTCCCTGTTGGATCAGTTTGTCCAACTCAGTGTCAATTTTACTCTTTAAAGCAAAAGGGACCCTTCTTGCTTTAATTCTAATTGGAGTGACAGTGGGGTCTAGTTTTAAGGACACAGGGGGTCCCTTGAATGTGCCCAGCTGGGGGCTGAAGACATCTGCAAATTCTTTGCAGACTTCCTGTAGGTCGAGTGTTTGTAAGCTGTTGAGCCCCGTGACGTGTATCCCCAAGGCTTCAAACCAATCGAGTCCTATGAGACTCGTTCGTTCATCCCCTACTACTAATAGGTCTAGTGGACCTTCAAAATTCTTATACTGTACGTTAAGGGTGGCCTCACCCTTAACACA